TGAGGCCCTGTGGAAGAGCAGAGACCATGTGGTCAACTAGGCTACTTAAAAAGGAGGCCCAAGTTGAATGGTTCTAAAATGCACCCACAAATTATTTATGCCCGTAAGGAGTGCACATCTACAGTATGCCTTTAGACTGGGGCAGTGGTAGCTCTGTGTAGCCCCAGGGCCAGGCCACAGAAGGACCCCAGTTCCCTCCTGGCTGGCCTACTCAGAATGTCTGTCTGCCATGTTGTGAGGAAGCTCAAGCCTCGTCAGTGGCGTGACTTCCCAGCCCTAGCAGACACCAGCAGTGTCTGCCAGACTGGGGAGTGTGGACCAACTGCTGTTCCCACCCTGCCACCCCTGAGCTGCCAGGTCCAGAGTCAGGGAGCAGGCCCAAGACTTCCCAAGTCCTGCCCTGCTGTTGTTGAGTAACTGGTAGTGAGTCCTGTTCACTGTGGTTCAGTTGTGGATTAAGGATTCACCCCCACAGCAGGATTTCTGCTGAGGGATGAGAGTCCAGCACCACAGGTCAGCAGGGGACAGGAAGAGTCAATCTTGAAATGGTAACCAGAAGAACACCCTAGGATGACTCACTGGCAGCAGAAGCTGTGCACAGTGGCTCACAGAAGCTGAACCAGCTGCCAGCCTCCTGGGGTGGGGGTTCTGGCCAGTCTCCTGTGTCTGGGCGATGTTAGGCAAGTTATCAACCCTCTCCAGGCATCAGCCCCACACAGCCGTTAACATTCCAGCCTGCAGGACTTCAGAAGGGTCAGCTGCCTTAGGGAGGCCCTGACTGTCTAAGCTCTCCAAAGATGGACTGGGCTGGCACCATGGGGTGGTGGATGGTGGAGTAGGGGATGGGCACTGTGTGAACAGGTGTGTTCTCATGAGTCATGACAAGCAGTCAGTCCTACAGACGCCATGTCCCCGTGCTCAGCTGGCCCTCAGCTTCTCCTCCACAGTCCTACAGGCATCTCTGGTCCCTGTACTCCCATCGCCTCGGAATCAAACAAATACAGATCTGTTACACCCGGGGACCCGCTCTCCTCCCGCAGAGCTGTGCCATTTCCTGAACCCCACCGTGTTGCATTTTCAATGAAATTTAGCCGAATATTGATGCATACTTAGCATTATACTTCCTGCTAGGCTTTAGACTGCATAACAACGTATTTACATGAGCAAAATAATGTCTTCTTCTGCAAAATCACTTCCACAGCACTTTCAATAAACATGTAATGAAAAGTATTTGATATCTTTTCTCAAATGACAGTGGCTAATAAATTTGATTCTGGAGCCAAATTGTCTGGGCTTTAGTCCCAGATCTAGGCCTTGCCATCAGAGTGACCTTGAGTAAAGATTTATCCTCCTCAGAGCCTCAGTTTGCTCTTGTGGGGAATTAGGTAAAAACAGTTTGTGCCTCAGTGCAGTTGCAGTTAGAATAAGTCAATCGATAGCCACCCAGGCCTAGAATAGCACCAGCGCTGTATGCGTATTGGGCTCTGTCCTGTCACTCAAGGCTGTCCTTGAACACGTGGAAAACGACGAGCAATCCAGAATTCTATCAACAGAACAATACATTTCAAGTAGCATCCTGCAAAAGAAATTTATGAAAACCAGATTGGTGTCCACCAACTCCTTGTGCTGTGAGACTCTCTGGGCTCTGTCTCGGGTCACAGCATTTCTCCAGCAAACTGTGCTGAGCACCAGCTCAGTCCCAGTGGCTGGGTCCTTCCTGGCTGTGTCCTCTGCATTTCTTAAGACAATGTCCTGAGAAAGAAAAGAAAGGTTCCTCCAGGAAAGGACAAATGGGCCTTTCAGTGACTGTTAATCCGCCAAGAGGCAGAAAGTCTCCAGACTGGATAAGCTAGTGTGCCCTTGTTGGGAAGTATGTATGAAGAGAGCACTGGACTGGCAGCCAAGACAATGCAAGTCCCTACATCTGACACACACACACACACACATACATACACACACGTAGTTAACACTCATGCCCTAGACCTACAGCCAGAACCCCACCAAGTCCCTACATCTGACACACACACACACACACACACGTAGTTAACACTCATGCCCTAGACCTACAGCCAGAACCCCACCAAGTCCCTACATCTGACACACACACACACACACACACGTAGTTAATACTCATGCCCTAGACCTACAGCCAGGACCCCGCCAAGTCCCTATATCTGACACACACACACACACACACACACACACACACGTAGTTAACACTCATGCCCTAGACCTACAGCCAGGACCCCGCCAAGTCCCTACATCTGACACACACACACACACACACACGTAGTTAACACTCATGCCCTAGACCTACAGCCAGGACCCCGCCAAGTCCCTATATCTGACACACACACACACACACACCCTAGGCCTCCAGCCAGGATACCACCAAGTCCCTACATACACATGCAGTGAGCATCCATACACAGATACATATGCATGTCCTGATGAAAAGACACAAATAGACACACGGACACACACAGGGAAATACACAAACAAGAACAAAGATACATGAACGGGCATGAACATCCATAAATACAGGTAAACAGACACACCACATACACAACGCTCGTACACACAAACAGACTCATGCACGTTCGTGTACAGCCACACGCTTGCACGCCTGCCTGCCCACACACCTCTGCACACAGCACACACACAGCGACACAAGCATAATCTCAGACACACACACACATGAACAGAGGCCACACACAGACATAAGCATGAACACGTTCGTGTGCAGAGACACGCGCGGCCGAGTGGCGCTCCGGGCCTCCAGGTTTGCGCGGGTCACCGCTAGGTCCAGGCCCGGCTTGCGTGAGCGCTGACCCCGTCCTCCAGGTTTGCGCGGGTCACCGCTAGGTCCAGGCCCGGCTTGCGTGAGCGCTGACCCCGTCCTTGCTCACTCGGTGGCAGAGCCCGGCGCCGCGCATTCATGGGGACCAGGCCGGGCGCGGTGTGACCCCCGCCTGGCGCGGGTTCGGCTCCGCTGGGCCGGGCGGCTGGTCCTCGTCCGCGCGGGGTCCCGGCTCTGACCCTGAGCGGCCTCCCCGACGCCCGCGTGCCCGGGCTCCCGGGTGGGGTCGGCCTCGGGGGCGCGGGGCGCGGGGCATCAGGACCTTCGGGTGTGTGGGCACGGGGCGCGGTGGGTGCGCGGTGGGGGTGCGGGCGGGGCGGGGCGCGGGCGGGGCGGGGCGGGGCGCGGTGGGGGCGCGGGCGGGGCGGGGCGCGGGCGGGGCGGGGTGCGGTGGGGGCGCGGGCGGGGCGGGGCGCGGTGGGGGCGCGGTGGGGGCGCGGGCGGGGCGCGGTGGGGGCGCGGTGGGGGCGCGGGCGGGGCGGGGCGCGGTGGGGGCGCGGTGGGGGCGCGGGCGGGGCGCGGTGGGGGCGCGGTGGGGGCGCGGGCGGGGCGCGGTGGGGGCGCGGGCGGGGCGGGGCGGGGCGCGGTGGGGGCGCGGGCGGGGCGGGGCGCGGGCGGGGCGGGGGTGCGGTGGGGGCGCGGGCGGGGCGGGGCGCGGTGGGGGCGCGGGCGGGGCGCGGTGGGGGCGCGGGCGGGGCGCGGTGGGGGGCGCGGTGGGGGCGCGGGCGGGGCGCGGTGGGGGCGCGGTGGGGGCGCGGGCGGGGCGTGGTGGGGGCGCGGTGGGGGCGCGGTGGGGGCGCGGGCGGGGCGGGGCGCGGTGGGGGCGCGGTGGGGGCGCGGGCGGGGCGCGGTGGGGGCGCGGGCGGGGCGCGGTGGGGGCGCGGTGGGGGCGCGGGCGGGGCGCGGTGGGGGCGCGGGCGGGGCGGGGCGGGGCGCAGTGGGGGCGCGGGCGGGGCGGGGCGCGGGCGGGGCGGGGTGCGGTGGGGGCGCGGGCGGGGCGGGGCGCGGTGGGGGCGCGGTGGGGGCGCGGTGGGGGCGCGGTGGGGGCGCGGTGGGGGCGCGGGCGGGGCGCGGTGGGGGCGCGGTGGGGGCGCGGGCGGGGCGCGGTGGGGGCGCGGTGGGGGCGCGGGCGGGGCGCGGTGGGGGCGCGGTGGGGGCGCGGGCGGGGCGTGGTGGGGGCGCGGGCGGGGCGTGGTGGGGGCGCGGGCGGGCCCGGGCGGGGCGCGGTGGGTGGGCGGGGCGCGGTGGGGGCGCGGTGGGTGGGCGGGGCGCGGTGGGGGCGCGGACGGGGCGCGGGCGGGGCGCGGTGGGGGCGCGGTGGGGGCGCGGGCGGGGCGGGGCGCGGGCGGGGCGCGGTGGGGGCGCGGTGGGGGCGCGGGCGGGGCGCGGTGGGGGCGCGGTGGGGGCGCGGGCGGGCGCGGGCGGGGCGCGGTGGGTGGGCGGGGCGCGGTGGGGGGCGCGGTGGGGGCGCGGGCGGGCGCGGGCGGGGCGCGGTGGGGGCGCGGTGGGGGCGCGGGCGGGGCGCGGTGGGGGCGCGGGCGGGCGCGGGCGGGGCGCGGGCGGGGCGCGGTGGGGGCGCGGGCGGGCGCGGGCGGGGCGCGGGCGGGGCTCGGGCGGGGCGCGGTGGGTGGGCGGGGCGCGGGCATGGCGCGGGCGGCGCGGTGGGTGCCTGGGCATGGCGCGGGCGGGGCGCGGGCGGGGCGCGGGCGGGGCGCGGGCGGGGCGCGGGCGGGGCGCGGGCGGGGCGCGGTGGGGGTGCGGGCCGGCGCCGTGTGCATGCAGATGAGCGGGTCCGCGTCACCGCGCACCGGCGCCGTGGCCGCGGGGCGGGCGGGGCGGGCGCGCAGGAGCCGGGCCCCCGCGCCGCCTCCCGGCCCAGGCGGCTCCCGCGCCGGGCGGACCCCAGGACCATGCCCGCGGCGCCCCGGGCCCGCAGCCCCCGGCGGGCCGCGCGCGGAGAGCGGGCGGCGGCGGCGGCCGTGCGCGCCCGGTGCTGAAGGGACAGCGCCCCGCACGCGCCCCGCCCCGTCCGCCGCGCCCCGCCCGCGCCGCCGCCGCCGGCCCATGCTCCCCGCAGCCGCCCGCGCGCGCAGGCTCCCGCGGCCCGGCCCCGGGCATGCCCCGAGGGTGAGCCGCGCCCATGGCGCTGGCCCGGAGGGTCCGGACGCTGCTGACGGTGAACGTCCTGGTGTTCGTGGGCATCGTCCTCTTCTCCGCGTACTGCCGCCTGCAGGACCGCGCCGAGGCGCTGGCGCCGGGCGTGCGCGGCGGGCCGGGCCGGGCGGGCGCGCGCGCCGACCGCGAGGCCATCCTGCAGCGCCTGGACCAGCTGGAGGAGGTGGTGTACGGCCGGCTCAACGGTGAGCGCGCGGGCCGGGAGGGGCCGGGAGGGGGTGGGGAGGGGGTGGGGAGGGGGTGAGCGCGCGGGCCGGGGAGGGGCCGGGAGGGGCCGGGAGGGGCCGGGAGGGGCCGGGAGGGGGTGAGCGCGCGGGCCGGGGAGGGGCCGGGGAGGGGCCGGGAGGGGGTGGGGAGGGGGTGGGGAGGGAGTGGGGAGGGGGTGAGCGCGCGGGCCGGGAGGGGCCGGGAGGGGGTGGGGAGGGGGTGGGGAGGGGATCGGGAGGGGGCCGGGAGGGGGGGCCGGGAGAGGGTGGGGAGGGGATCGGGAGGGGGCGGGGAGGGGGTGGGGAGGGGATCGGGAGGGGGCGGGGAGGGGGGTGGGGAGGGGATCGGGAGGGGGCGGGGAGGGGGCCGGGGAGTGGGTGGGGAGGGGGCGGGGAGGGGGCGGGGAGTTGGCCGCTCGGGACCAGCTGGAGGAGGTGGTGTACGGCCTGCTCAAAGGCGCGGGAGGGGGAGGGGGCTGCCCCAGGCCACCCGGAGGAGGTGGTCTACAACCAGCTCAACGGTGAGGAAGGCGGATGCAGTGTCTGCCACCCCCAACCCAAGCCCCTTACCGGGGAAGCGGACAGACAGAGGGACGGGCTGCAAGGCCTCCCCTGGCCCAGGGCTTGACCTGGATGACCATCCATCCATCCATGCGGCACTTGGGAATGCCTCCTCCCGGCGACCATTCCAAACTCACTTCCCAGAGAACTTGGGGGAACTTCCGGAGGGGTCCTGTGTGAGGGGTCCTCCGGGCCCCCTTGCCCTCCCCGCCCCCCCAGTGCCCTCCACCCCCCGCAGGGCACTCGGGGTCTCCAGAGCCAGTCACTGGGGATGCACAGGGCTTGCACACAAGTTCCTTGAGGGAGAAGCAGAGGCCCTGGGCGGCTGTGTGACCAGCCCAGGGTCCAGTTGTGTGACCAGCCTAGGGTCCGGTGGGGCTGGCAAGACCCCGCTGCCCACATGACCTGAGGCTTGGAGTTGGCCCCTGTGGACTGTGCTTGGTGGAGTGCCAGGGCAGGGGACAGTGTCTGTGGTGGCAGGTCACGGCAGGTCGCGGCAGCTGGGAGCCAGCGCTCTTCAGAGGACGTGTGTGTGAGAGGCAGAGGCTGGGGCTCCAGGGCCGGCCCTGTGTGGGGAGCCCGGAAGGGGAAGGTGGGCACATGCCTCCATCCCCGGTGGTTTTCCCGTGGGGCTTGGTGGCCCTAGCAACCCCTTCCTGGAGTGCCAGGCACAGCTTTGGAGAACGTGGCTCTAGATCCGCACACCACGGCCTGGGAGGGGGGAAGGGGGGTGAACTCAGCCTGGGGAGCCCTGGTATCATGTGCGGGTACTGCCCACTCTGCAGTGTGCTTGCCCTTGGAGAGCAGGGCCCCCCGGACTTCCCGATACCCCAAGGGGCTCCGGACAAGCCCCGTGGCGGCTCTGGTCTTTGCTCTGGTTGAGGCCAGGAGAGGAGAGAAGTTTATCTCCAGCAGCTGCTTGGCACTCGGCAGTGTGACTCACCTCCTGGGCGGCGCGTGGCCCGGTGGTAGCACACGGCGTTACTGAAGTGGTTTGCCAGGGTGTCATGGTCTGTTTTATGGGGAGGACCAGAGGATTATATAAAAACATTGGCAGCACACAGGGGTTGTGCAACATCAAGTCGGCGAGCAGCCCTGAGCCCCCCAAGGGTGGAGCAGCCGATTTCTGGTGTGGGAAAAGCTGTTTCTGGATCAATGTCTGTCCGAGGACGCTGGCCGGGAGAGGACCGCGCTGGGAGTCGGCGAGCTGCCCTGGCCCTTCTGTCTCCCTGGTCCCCTTTGTCCTCTCTTGGCTTTTCCTCCCATCCTCCCTCTCTTCTCCTCTTCCTGTCTTTCCTTTTGAGTGTTCGCCCTCCCAACCACACCCCTTCCTCCCCCTGCATCCCCCTTCCTTCTCCCTGCCCCTTCCTGTTTCCCTCTTTCTCCGTTCTCAGTGCTCAGTGACCCATGTCCCTCACACAGTACTGGAGCCCAGTTGACGTCCAGTCTTTGTCTCAGAAAATAACAAGGGAAACCTGGCGTTCGCCCTGACCCCAGGCAGGCCTCGCAAGAGGGCAGTGCAGTGGAGGGCGGCCCCCACCCCAGTCTGAGGCAGGGTGTCTCTGGCAAGGGCATTGGAGGAAGCTGGGGAAACTTCCGGGAGGAGGCAGCCTTCTCTTCCTCACAGCGTGTCCTAGTTTAGATCCTAGAGGTGTGGCATCGCCTCTGGGAGGTTCCTCCGGATACCAACCCGACTGACTGAGTTTAGAAACAAGAGGAAGAAATCTGAACCAAAATTGATTTATTGCTTCCATTTTCTTGGCTTTGATGGCTCTACCGGAATTCTCTTCTGGCTGAAGGAGTTAGGTGACAAGGAAGTGTGGGGTGAGGAGCCAGGCTCCTTGGTATTGGAGGGGGCCGGCACCCTCCCCACTTCCTCCCACAGCTGCCCAGTGATCCTGCCAACCTGCCCTCCCCACGGGGGTGGGGGGGTGTAGCTTCAAACCCACAGGCTCCGGGGGGAAACGTGCGGTGAGGAAGCCCAGCCCCGCTCACGTCCATGTGTGCGTGAGAGAGTGCTTCTAACATCAGTGCTCAAGCAGAGGAAAATGTCTATGGACAAGGACGGTCTCTGAGCACCTTAACTTGCACGCATAATGCAGCTCCCACAGCTCTGTGTGTGCAAGTCTACGAGCAGCGAGTCTGAGAGCTCCCAGGCTTGATGAGGGAGGGAAGCCAATGCTCCATAGGGTGTTTGGCTACTCACGTCCGCTGCTTTCCGGGTTCACACCTCGGCCTCCACACAGGCATCTGCAGAGTGACAGAACTGCTCTGCTGTGGGAGGTGTTGTGCACGCCTCACCCCGAGTTCAGAGGGGGCCAGAGATGGCCAAAGCTCTGGGTGGTCTCCTGGTTTGGAGCGAGCTGGGAGTTGAGGATGAAGGATGACCTGCCCAGAGTTATCTGGAGAGGTGGTACTGGCAGGTGCCAAAAGTGGTTCTTGTTTCGGAAGCGCCTACGTCACCGTTAGTGAGAGAGCAGAGTCACTGGAGGCCAAGCACAGACGCCGCCCAGAGCGGGCGAGCGAGGCTGGCTGCACTGCATCTGCGCCCTCTGCAGATGCCAAAACCACCGCCCACCTGCCCTCTACCATGTTCCCTCCACTGCCCCAGCCTCCAGGAACTTGTCCGCACTCTAGCTGTCCACCACCCCAAACAGATCCACCCGACAGACCCCTCTGAGGTGAGGCTTCTGTCTCTTCTTCATGGGTCTTGGGCCCAAAGCCCAGGGCATGTAGCATGCAGGAGACTATCCCAAGTGACTGTATTCATTGTATTTTATTAGCTTATATTAGTTACATGGGGGAGAGTTTATTGTTACAGCTCCACACGTGTTTGTGTTCTATTCCAATTAACCTCACCCCCTCTATCACACTCCCTGCCAACAGATTTGGATTTTAAGCGGCAGCTTATGCTGTCACCATACCCATGAATAGCAGGTGCCTACACAGTCAACGCAAGCCAGGCACCACACAGTGGCTCACACTTGTAATCCCAGCTATCAGGAGCGGAGATCTGAAAATTGTGATTCAAAGCCCGCTCTGGCAGGAAAATCTTTTTCTCTAATTAACCACCAAAAAGCCAGGAGTGAAACTGTAGCTCAAGTGGTAGAATGCTAGCCTTGAGCAAAAGAGCTCGAGGAGAGAGCCCAGGTCCCGAGTTCAAGCTCTGGGACTGGTGCACACATACATGCACAGACGTGAGGGTGCATCTCCTGCAGGACATGCAGCTAGGAGAGGTCTGCTCTGTGTGTGTGGGAAGGAAGAGGAAGAGGGACCCAGGGACACAGAGCACGAGACCCAGGCCCCGCCGTGCCATGCGCTCGCACGATAACCCCGTCACTTAACTCTGTGCAGGTTTCCTTTGAAGACGTGTGCTTGGCAATCAGGTCTCCAGATGTCTGGGGAGCGGTGCGCTGTGCTGTGCGGTCGTGGGGCCTGTGGGAGCGTGGGTCCTCACTGGGGCTGGCATCCGGTGTTCAGGCAACACAGCAAGCCCCTGGCTGCACGAGTCCTGCCCGCTGCCCACTGCGAAGGCTGAGCCTTTGCAAGCCTGCCCAGGGTCCTCCCAAGGCCAGCTGTGAGTGCCAGGTGGGGCCGGGCAGATGCTGGCAGGTCAGCAGGTCACGGCGTGAGGCCCAGGTGGCCGGTGAGAGGCAGCAAGTCAGCCGGCTGCTGCGCAGTTTCTTGTGAACTCGTCCACGCTGCCCACCTGAGCGTCCATGTTGAAAAACACGGACTCATGTAGCTCTTCTACACACTCTGTGCTCCCCACACTCCACCTCAAGAAAGGCACACAGAGCCCCGGCTTCTGTCCTGGCTTTCCAGAGAAGGGCCGCAGGGCTGCCAGGGAAGATCATCTTTGTCCGGGGCCACAGGAGCAGAGGACCCCAGCATGGGGACCTCCAGCAGCACACGTCTGTTCTCTTGCTGTTTGGATTCAGAAGTCTGGCCTGGTCTCTGCCGTCCGGAGCAGGTGTGGGCAGGGCTGGTTCCCTGAAGCAGGGGTCCTGTCCCGAGAAGGCCCTTCCCAAGACGGGTGAGGAGGAGGCGGAGTGTGGTGAGCGCGCTGGGGCGGCCGGGGCTGGGAGTTGGAAGGCAGAGCAGAGGGCTCCCTCCTGCCAGGGTGAGAAGCCAGGTCCTCAGGGACAGCAGTGGTCAGCACCACGGACAGCTCCGTGGCTAGAGGGCCACGCCTTGGGGCTGTGTGAGCAGGAAGCCTTTCGGGATTTTCCATTTTCCTAGGCAACCAAGAAACAAGGTCAGGGGCTGAGATTGGGGATTGCAACGTGTGAGTGTGTGAGTGTGAGTGTGTGTGTGTGTGTGTGATTCCATACGTCCTTATTTCAGAAAACGGTATCGTGCGACGTGCTTCATCGCGTCTGACTGGCTGCCTCACTCTGTTACTCAGGGTGGGAAGC